GGGGGGGGGGGGGGGGGGGGGAAGCAGGGAGGCATGGAGGCAGGCAGGCAGTAACTAAAACCAATCAGATCAATGACTTCTGGGCTTTTTGCTCACACATGCTATGAGAATGTTGAACAGATTTACAGATTTACAGTATTTGTAAATTGCCTATGGGGGTATTTGTTTCTCTCTATTAACATATTTGAAGGCTTTTCCTTGCCTGTGAGTAGACCAAGGTTTCTGTCCCACCTTGCCCTGCAGCCGTTTAGGCCCAAAGAAACACAGAAGTTTATATTAATTATAAATTGTTTGGCTTATAGCTCCGGCTTCTTATTGGCTAGCTCTCTCTTAATTTTTAACCCATTTCTATTAATCTGTGTATCTCCACATGGTCTTGGCTTACTGGTGATGCCCAAGTCTCTTGCTTTCTCCACAACTACATGGTGTCTCCCTGACTCTGTCTACTACTACCTTTCTCTATCCCTGTTTGGATTTCCCACCTAGCTAAATTCTGCCTGTCCATTGGCCAAAACAGCTTTATTCATCAACCAATAAGAGAAACATATGCTCACAGCATACAGAAGGACATCCCCTATCACCTTTGGATTCTTTTTTTAAATTAAACTGTCCAGCTTTTTTTTTAACATGGTTTATGAGGTATTACAACACATTTTGTGTGTTTGTTTGTTTGTTTGTTTTTGTTTTCTGTCACCTCTGAAAGTCACCCTTTAGGAGTCCCTGACCACCACCTGCCCAAGCTCTCTGGCAGAAAGCACCGTCCTGCCAGCTTTTGTGGTGGGAATGCTTCTGCTGTGGCTCTCCTCACACGATGGAGGCCATGTCCCTGAACATGGAGTAAGAGAGGCCTGCAACTGGCTTTCTGCCTGGTGCAACAAGCTCAAGAAACCAGCTCTCTGTAGCTCACTTAACCTTCCCTGGATCTGAGCTCAGCTGACCTTCCCTGCATCTTAGCTCAGCTGACCTTCCCTGAACCTTAGCTCAGCTGACCTTCCCTGGATCTGAGCTCTGCTGACCTTCCCTGGATCTTAGCTCAGCTGACCTCCAGCAAAAGCATCACAGTTAGTGACCTCACCTAAGGCAAAGCCTACTTCATTTTCAAGTGTTGAGCATCTCATGGATTTGGATACCGAGCCAAAAATAAAAATACAGAAGTGTTGGTGGGTGAAATGTTGTACCATTGTAAAGTCAAAATATTATCAGTTGAAATTGTTATTATAAGCTTCACATACATGCATACATACAAACATAATTCGTTTCCGCACAGAAGGAATTTGGGCTTGTTTCCCAGTGTCTAGAAGAGTGCCCAGTACTTAGCAATTATACAGTAGTGTTTGTTGAATGAATGAGCAAGTGAATAAACAAGAGATTTTTTTTTTCTACTGTTTCTCTCACCTCTGCCACTGCAACATGAAATCCGGGGTTGTACCTCATGTTGCAGTTTGCTTTGGCTTAATTCTCACAGTACCTAGACTGTGAGTGGGAGGGAAAAAAAGGCAGAAAAAAAGCAACCTTTCCCCTCACTTGGAATTGTTCTTATGGATTTGTGTGTACTTTTTGTTTTGTTCTTGGATTAAGAAATGCCAGATACTCCTTTGGGAAGCCGAGCAGCACAGATGACTGGTGGGACTGGACTGTGAGCACATTGCTGAATGGGCTGTACCCAGAAGGACCTGCTGCTGGAGCCTGGGGGGCTCAGGTGGGCGTTCATCTGCTGTGTCAGAATTCATGGGGCAGTGAGAGGAACCACAAGACAGCATAGGGTCTGCTCCATGACACCATGGCAGGCAAAGAAACCTGTTAGTCTCCTGAGATTCTATGATGGTCTATGATGGCCTCCTAAGCCATTCACACCCTCCTTTCAACACTTGCCAGTCCAAACAGGACCTAGGTACTTTTTGACAGGGGTTCTGGTGAGACTGAGGAAGAAGCTAGCTTGTTGCTAGCAGGACAAGGACTCAGGAGTCCCCAGAGCAGAAGAGGAGCTCATTGCTAAGGCAGCATCATTAGGGAAGTTTCTAGAAAAGGGCAAGGCTGGTTCTGAGTTTGTACTGTCCCTTCCCTCATTCATAGTTCACTTTCTTCCCTTTTTGAAAAATAGAAGCTCTTTGCCCTACATTCCTCAAACATTTTGTCCCTCATTTCATTTTTTTGTATTCCAAGAGTATCATGGAGTCACCTGGGGTCATTCACATGATGGGCACTTCAAGGGGAAGGCAGTTGAATGCCTTCTTTTTCCAGAGGATGCTGAGGAAGGGGTGTTGGCTGCATCTGCAGACGGTTGGTTTCTTGGGTGCTGGTTGCATCCTCCCTCAGTTTTTCAGGATAATGAACTTCTAAGTCTGCAGATGGGGTGACCTGTGCTTCCCCAGCCTTATCAGCAATGCTATACAGTGGCCATCGAAGCTCACGATGCTCTTACACTCTGAGTCTCTCCCTCTTTCAGCCTGGAGCTCTCGGGGGGCAGTGCCATCTAATAGGCCCTTCTGTGATCAAGCAGCTGAAGGTTTCTTCTGGTACTGCATGCACAGTGAGTGCACGGGGAGACACAGGGTCGGGGCTGGCAGATCAGCTAGGCTTAGACTGTTGGGAGGAGGTGTTAGCTTTCCAGGTGCCAGAGTCAACTTTCCTTCTGCTCTTTCCAAGCACCCTCTTGCACCCTCTTCATTCTTCCTCAGAACCACTCTCTTCACTTCTAGAGTTGGCATTCTAGACAAAGAAGGCTTTCTTCTAAGACTCTGAAGCTAGATTTTTTTTTGTGTTATTTTCTGATGGGGAAGGGTGCCCAGAGACAGCATCACTCCATAATGCAGTGTTCTGCAGATTGGCCAGCCCCACACAGCCAGCTCCTCAGCTGCAGTCATCAGCAGTCATAGCCTTGATCTTTCCAGTTTGAGACACAACCCAGAGATCATGAAGGAGGCTGGAGAATGGTCCTTGAGAGTAGCAGGGTCCCTGACCACATAGTTGGCTGTATTCTGTGTGGGCAGAGTTTGGGAGCCCCACAATGCAGATGGACTTGGGGACAGAGATCCATTGGGGTTACTTGAATGGTGATTTGTGCTCTAGCCTCCCAGGCCAGTCTCAGAGCTCATGGAAGATGCACTATCTACGAGTACTCGTGACCTTGACCTTGAGAACCCAAATGTGACCCATGGTGGTCCTGAGGCCTGTGGGGTGAAGAAGGAGAACTCCATGCACAGTCTAGGAAGAACAAGGTCAGTGAGCATCAAGAAGAGGCTCCAGGCCCTGTGCTACCATGTGAGGCATGTCTGATGTAGGCTCAGCTGCTGGGCAGGCCCTAAAGGGGCCAGCACTGCTAAGGCCTAAGCAGTGTTCTTGCTTCAGAACAATGGTGTTCAGACTCCAGTGTTCAGACCCAAGTACATAGAGGAGGACAGAATGGGACATTCTTTAAAAGTAGCAAGTAGGCCAGAGCCTACAGAGTGATGGAATCTTTGTCCTTTGATCACTGAGTGCCAAGTGGGGAACTCACATGGTCTTGATTATTTGGCCTCTAACTCCTAGAGGAACATAGATGCTGCCTTGAACTGCACTGAGAAAATGAGGGGTGGGTCTTCCAGCATGTGTAGATACAGCATGTGTAGACACAGCATGTATAGACGCAGCATGTATAGACACAGCATGTGTAGACGCAGCATGTGTAGACACAGCATGTATAGATGCAGCATGTGTAGATGCAGCATGTATAGACACAGCATGTGTAGACACAGCATATGTAGACACAGCATTGTAGACACAGCATGTATAGATGCAGCATGTGTAGACGCAGCATGTGTAGACACAGCATGTGTAGACGCAGCATGTGTAGACCTAGCATGCATGCACCATGCTTCCTGTAGCTCAGCCTGTAGTCAGGTGCCCTGCCAGTTCCACAGGATGCCCTGGGCCCAGGTCACGGCACAGCCTTCATCATAGCACTGGGCTTTGCATAGGAAGTCAATCTGTGTGTCATAGTATTGTGCCAGAGAAATTAAAACAGGACATGATTTGCTACTAAATATGAATTAGTAAGGCGGGTTTTTTCTATCCACGAAGTCCACTGTGAAGAGAAGGATGTGGCTATTTGCGAGCTCTTGGGGAGGTCTGCTGGGCATCTCTCGACACCATCTGTTGGCTGGGATTACATCCTTGATGCAGGAACAAGAAAAAGAAGGACAAAAGGGACAGTGGGCTCCTGGTCGGGGCCCTAGGCCACAGAAGGACTGTCAGAAGCCTAGGGGTCATCTGTCCCCATGAAGGCTTGCATTGGGTGGATTGGGCATGGTGCCACAAATGGGGTTTTCCTGCCCTCCCTCTGAACCTGCTGTTTTCCAGGCATGAAGTGCATTCAGCCCTGACTGCCCTCAGGGCCAACAGGTGGATCGACCACAGCACCAGGGCCATGTCTGTGCACTTCACCCTCTACAACCCCCCAATGAGACTCTTCACAAGTGTGACCCTAGGTGCAGAGTTTCTCCCCATGGGAGGTCTTGTCCCCTCATCCCTGGTAGAGTCATTCAGCATCTTCTACAGTGATTCAGTCCCACAGTACCTTCTTATGCTTTCTGAGGTGAGTTCACCTGCCCTGGGCCTCCTGGATGGGCACAGGTAGCTGGGGCTTCACATGGCTAAATACCTCTATAGGTTAAATACCTTCTACTTCTGAGAAACTAGGGCCCTCCCATTGACCCACCTGCACAATTCTTATTATGTCTCTTTCATGTAGTATGAATCATAGAATAGGTGTTGGCACTGGAGACAAAGAAACCAACCATCACCTACAAAATGAGCACAAGTATTCAATTGCCTCGAGGTACTAAATTCGTCATGGGATCTTAGTCAGCCCCAGCCACCAGAACAACATACTGTCATCCTGCACTGTCCAACATTTAACTTTTATAGTCACCCATGATCTGAAAATGTGGAGTGGAATATTCCAGAAGTAAATGATGCCTTACAGTATATCATCGTGTAATTACAGTGTGTTGTTATAATTGTTCTATTTTATTATTGCCTATCACTGTTAATCAGTTACTATGCCAAATTAAGAAATTAAGCTTTATCATAGCTATCTATGTATTTATAAGAAAGATCCAATATTAATAAGGTTTGTCACTGTTAAAATTTCAGACAGCCCCTGGGAACTGCCACATATCCCTGTCAGGTGAATAGGATTACTTACTGCTCAATGGCTGGGAGGCTTAACTAATAGACACCTATTTAACAAAGATCTTGCAGCTAGAAACCCAAGATCAAGTGCTAGGAATGCTGGGCTGTAGCGAAGACCCCTTCCTTGGTATTGAGAAGCCATCTTTTCACTGTGTCACACAGCCTGGCTCCATTCTGCACCAGTGAACAAAGAGAAAGTATGTGCCCTTTGGGCCTCTAGTATGTGTATAGACTCTATTATTATAGAAACATGGCCCTACCTCATGCTTGCACTTAGCCTTAACTATTTGCAATGAGGCAGGCTTCTAATAGAGACATTATGGGGTTTGGGGCTCCAAGATATTACTCTGGGGATATATGCCTGCCCCCAGTCCATAGCACCAGGTGTCAGTGGTTCACATTGCCTTACTGAACAGCCAAAAGCCTTAGCAGCCACCCTCCATGGCATGCCACTGCCTCTGCATCTTCTTATTCCATGTTTCTCTCTGAACAACCATGTCCTGCTTTTGGGCAAGTCAAGTCTACTTGACTTCAGGAAAGGGAAAGGAGTCTAGGGACTGTTAGAGATAGCCACGGCTGAGACTGGAATGGAGGATAAGCATGAAGCACAGTGTGGATTCCTGGGAAGGGCTGGAATAGGCAAGGCTCTTTCCTTGGGCACCAAAAAAGAAAAATAGAAATAGTCAGAAAACAAAGTAAATAGTATGCTAGTGTGATATCTTAAAATGTCAGAAAAAAAAAATGAAGCCATGTTGGGCAAAATGTCAAGAGTTTGGAAAATCATATCAGTTTTTTTTTTTTTTTTTTTTGGTTTTTCCAGACAAGGTTTCTCTGTGTAGCTTTGGAGCCTAAGCTGGCACCCGCTGGAGACTAGGCTGGCCTCGAACTCACAGAGATCCACCTGCCTCCCGAGTGCTGGGATTAAAGGTGTGCACCACCAACGCCCGGCTTCCTGCCCTTTCTTTTGGCTCTATACTACAGAGAAAATGGAGACACTGGCTGTGCAGCCTCTCTGATGTAGTCTCTATTGTGTAAGAACAATGGCACTAAGGGACTTTTATCTGGAAGGAAAAATACATTTATCAGGGTCTTGTCAATACTACTTCCAACGTCACTGTGTTTCCCCTCTGTAGTGGAGAGGCAGTCTTTGGTATGACGTGGCAAAGTACACTGTTTCACACCTTCCCTTAGGACTCAAAGCCAACTTGGTTCTGACTATGTTTGCAGTTTATTAGCGTGGATCCACAAAGGCACAGTACACATAGAAGGATGGGGAATGCACAAAGGCCCTGCTGATGGGTTTCAGTTTCCTGTAAACTTGTGAATAAATTGCAGGCTGGCATAGAGAACTGATAGTGGCTGTGAACACCCACATGCCTTATTCCTATGCCCACAGGATCAATGGCACATCTTAATGCTTTCCATGGAATTGGGTCTCTGGGAGTGCTTAGTGTGAAGTGATACCAAGCTGCCCAGGTGCCTACCGAAGGGCTAGTTTGTTATCAAATGCTGTCAAGAAGGAGAGGGGCTTAAACCATATGGGCAATGGAAACTGCCGGAAGTCTGAACCTTGAAAAAACTACTTAGCTGACCCTTGCTTTGTCTCACTTATTTCCATCCCTTCCCAGCTGGTGTTCCTGGTACTGAACATGACCCACCTCTGTTTCCAGCTCTGGGGAATGGCCACCAATGGCGTCCTCAGCTACTGGAAAAAACCAAGACACTGGCTGGAGGTAACCTCTCTGATATATTCTCTAAGTAGAAAAATACTTTTATCAGGAAGTTGTATAGATACCATTTCCAATGTCATTGTGTTCCCCCACAACAGTGTGGAGGCAGAATAGCATTTGAAATCAGGTTTCCTTGGCATCTGATGGTGGTGGTAGTGGTGTGTGTGTGTGTGTGTGTGTGTGTGTGTGTGTGTGTGTGTGTGTGTGTGTGCTCATGTTCATGTGTGTTTGGGTGTATAAACGCGTGAAGGTCACAGTCATTTCTCAGATACCATCGATCTCTCTTTTTAAGACAGTATCTCTCATTAGTCTTTAAATAATCAGTTAGAGCCAGGCTTTGGTGGTGCACACCTTTAATCCCAGCACTCAGGAGGCAGAGGCAAGTGGATCTCTGTGAGTTCGAGGCCAGCCTGGTCTCCAGAGCGAGTGCCAGGATAGCCTCCAAAGCTACAAGGAGAAACCCTGTCTCGAAAAAAAACAAAACAAAAAAAAAAAAAAAGAAAGAAAGAAAGAATCAGATGAGGCTATCTGACTGGAGAGTCTAGGAATCCACCTCTCTCTGTCTCCTCCACATGGGGATTCCAAGCATGTGCTATCATGATGGGTATTTTTATGTGGGTTCTGGACATTGCACTTATGTCCTCAAGCTTACACTTTACCATCTAAGTTATCTCCTCAACCACCAACTTAATGTTTAACAGGCAACTTGTCACTGGAGGGTCAGGAATGCCAACTGTGTCCACCCTCAGCCGATTGAGAGACCTTTCTCCCCTGTGTTGCAGCTCTCTATGATTGGGGTAGCCCTGGCCTACTATGCAGCCTCTGGTCACCTCACTACCCTTGCCAAGAATGTCAATGACCAGGTCCACAAAGGACTTCATCAGATGTCTGTGGATCTAAGTCTGATGGTGTCATGGAATCAGGTATGATAGGGAATTCAAGGCTACCTGAAAGAAGCTATAACTGATGTTGATCAATGACATCTGTCACACAAGGACTGGAAGTTTCAGTGTGGTAGATTTGTTCTGTTGAATGATAATGCTATAAGCTCGAAGATGGTGCCACTTGAAGCAGTGATGGATTTGGCGAACTTCACATGTGCCCACTAGCTGAGCATGCTATGTAAAGTAGAACTCAAGAGCCTGGGATGCCAATGGACTTGCAGCAGCATGAGGAAGCAGGTATCAGTCAATAGTCTAGAGTAAGGAGACTGTCACTAACATGCTTAGACACATCATGCCTGCCTTCCTGTCCATCTGGTGATGGTCTTAGATGCCTGTATTTTCAATAAGTGAAGAGCCTGAGGCTCAGGAAAAGACTTGAGGTCATGAAAGGGAGAAACACCATCTCTAAGTTCCTGTATCTCTACCTCCTAGGCTTCCATCTGTAGAATGGGATCTCTACCAAGAGGACCAGGAGGAGTTTGCAGGATAGGCCTTATAAGCCCCTGGGAGAAGACCTATAGGTCAGGAGATCCTATCACAGTAGCTGGGCTCCCTGGAGGTCCACAGCTTCATGCTACAGTGGACATATGCAAACTGAATCTATATTCCCATCTTGTTCTGCTGTAGCCACAGCTAACACCTCTACCTACTCACAGATTCTCTAAGCCTCTTTTCTAGCTACCTTGATGGCTGTCAATGCCCCAGGGCCATCCTGTACCTAGAGTACCTTCACACCCTGGACAAGATGCTCCCAGAACAATCTGAAAAGAGGGGGTACTGGTTCTCCTCTAACCTCAGTGCTCCCAGCTCCACCTCCTCCCTGTGACTTCCCTATGGATCTTCTTGTGATGATGCACCCTGGACCCAGCTTTCTTTTCTGCTCAGTGAGGGGCCTTAGAGGACACAGGATTGTGATGTTCCCACACCACAGTTCCAGTCTTCCTTTTCTGGATAACTGGTACCACTGTTATCGCTGTCTCCTGGGAGGTTATATCAACCTCCACCCACCTTCTCTTCTCTGCCTTCTCACCATCTACACTCTGAATAAACTGTGGAGCAGAAACACAAGAGTGTCCCTGAGACAACTGCTGCAGCTAGGGAAACTGAGGCCCAAAGGATGTAAGGACTTTCCTATAGCCAGAGTGCCCCAGTCTTGCAAGTGCCAGAGACTCATCAGCCTGGGGGCAGTGTGTTGAAGGATCTCAAGCAGAGGAAAATCTGGATTTCTTCCGGGAGGACAAGACTACAAATCATCTTCCTTTTGCAGATGTCACTAGACCTGTGACTTTATGAGTCAGTCCTGAGAGAGCCCTTGCATGAGGGAAGCTATGAAGCCATACTTTGTACTCCTGAGTGTTGAGCTCCATAGGTACTCATGAGTCCCAAGGCTAGGCGCTAACCAGGTAGACATCATCTTTACATCATGAGCAGCTGGCCTGCCTCCTCTGCTTCCTGCTCATCATCACCCTTATGGTGCTGTGAAACACATTCTTTGTGCACATTGCTGATCCCAGCAGGAACTCGCTGCATGGAGGGCACCATAGGCCATCCCTGTGCTAAGCACCAGGAACAGAATTCCAGACACTTCTGCACCTTGGATTGTAATTGCTACGACCTGGGGGAGTCTTGTCTGCCAATCACAAAAGTGAGGAAAATCATCCTTTCTGTCCACACAGGCAGGAAGCTCTGTTCCTTTCTGTCCTAAAACAGGAAATCTAAAGACATGAAGTACTACTTAGCCTAATACTTCCTGGATCCCCCAACATACAGAACCCCAGGATGCTGCTCTCTGGGTTCTCCCAGCTGTGGGTAATGTCTTTCCACACAATAGTGAACAGCTAGACTGTGCAAGTGCCTTTGGTTCATCTTAGGATGTTTCGTTCTCAGCCTCAGCTATTCTAAGAAATATGTGCAGTTAAAGCAGAGCTGGGCTAGCCACAGTCACCCCAGGATCTTCTTTCAAGCACTTAGCAACAGCATGACTTGGTTGTCTCATACACCAAGAGGCCAGAAGCTCTAGGAAGTTTATCAGCTTGTTCACTGCTATTCCCCAGCACCAACATGGGGTCAGATGATGACTCTTCTGTTCCACTGTTGGCCTCACTGCCTCATCGCTGGTAGGCTTTTTGGTCTACCTTTCCTGTGTGTCTGTATTCATTCACACTTTTTCTACCAGGGAGTTTCAGCTCACTTTCTGTCTTTTCTACCTCACAACCACAGCTATACATCAGCCTGGATTCCAACTCCATCAAAGCCTAGAGTTCCTTTCCCGAAACACTTTGGAGGATGCTCTTCTCATTGTGGTGGTCAGAGCAGCTCTTCTAGGAGTGATGTGCGGAGAAGTAGGAGTCTGTGAGGACACACTCAGTGAACACTGAGCCTCCAAAATGGATTCCCCTTTCACAGCCTTTTTCCTCACAGCATGCTATCTTTCTGGTCATGTTTGCTGTTACCAAAATCATGCCTGGAATGACTCCCTCTTCCTTGAGGCTTCTAGTATAGCCTGGTGCTACTTTCTGGGTCTTCACTTAGCTCCTGAGTGAGAGCTAGCTTGGTGAAGTTTCATCCTGCCCCACACTCACATCAGAGTTCTGGCCCTGCATCAATTGTCCCATCACCAGAAAAGTATTCCTTTTCACCACCCAGTCCCTGTGTACAGCTCAAGCTGATTAAAGTGAGTGCCTCCAACTCTCCTCTGCAGGGCTTAGCTTGATGAACTGTAAAGGAGTTTATAAATTTGGGATGCAAATATTTCCATTTTACTCTGAATATACATATTATTTTACATATGTTGATCTAAATAAAACACTAAGTAAATTCCCCTGCTTATTATCACCCGTTAGATTGCAGCTACCAGGAAATTTGCAGTTCTGCCCACATTGTATTTCACCTACCAGTAGGGATTACAGGGCCAACCATCTCTATTTTTTCCCCAAGCACAGCATATCTTACCAATTACCTGAGAAGTGAACTGTGATGTACATATGGTAGGCCATCAGAACACTGAGTCCAGATGTCCTTGTAACTGCAGCCTACGGCCTGAGCCTCAGCTTTTCTTTAACCCTAAGAGTGGGCCAGGATTCCTCATGTTTTAAATATGATAGGAACATGGTGCAAAACTTAAGGGATTTTTCTAGGATGAGAGAGAGGAAGAATATGCATATATATCCCTCTTGGCATATGATAGGTATCCTATAAATTAATATGATAATGAAAGAAGTTAAGAAGTCATTCTGGTATCCTTCCAATTAGATGTAGGCAAGAAAGGGATCCACAGAGAGACCATAGCTTTGCTCTCTAGTGTCATGGTCACTGGCTCCCTGAGAGTATAGAGAAGGAACAGTCAGCTCAAATTGAGATGTACTCCAAATACAAAATACTTGCTGAATTTCATAAATTTAATATGCAAACGTCTCCATGTGTATGGAATGTACATACTGTTTTACATGTGTTGGTCTATGTAAAATGCAAAGTAAACCTCGGTTGTGTATTTTCAACTTCTACATTGCAGCTACCAGGAAAGGTGCAGTTCTGTCCACATCCCACACTGTAGGTCTCCTAGCCAGTACTAGCTATGCTGTCATTCATCCCTGTTTTTCCCAAGCACAGCTGTGTCTTACTGATTTGAAGGGGCCACAGGTGTGCCAGCCCCACCCAACTGCCTCAGTTGTCAGAGGTGGCTGTTGGTAATTTCCCAAATAAACTGAGAACCTTATCCTTTGTTCACATGCAGTTCTAGCATGCAGCATTCATTTATTTCTCTTGGGGAAAGTAGATGAGGGCATGCACAGAACGAAAGGCCTTTCCCAATGAACTATAGGCAGGTGCACAGCTTTTGAGTGACCAAGGAGTCTTGGGTACCTCTGTTGGACCTGGACTCTGAGTGTGCCCCTGGGTCATCCTGCTGTGTGTCTTTTGTCCCATAACTGTGTTTATTTGAGCCAGTCTTCACAGCTATAATGTGGGAACTCTTCTGGTTATTATAGAATTAAATTTTCTGTATCTTCAAGGAAAGCATTGGTAAAGTGTTACATGACTGGGAGCACACCCTGTCACTGCTGCCACTGCCATTGCCTTACAGCACAGTGGACTGAGGCTCAGAGGGGAACCAGCCAGACCTACTCTGCTGTCTCTACCAGCCTGGCTCTTCTGAAGATATCTTACAATGTGTCTTGAATCCTGCCTCTGCAGACACTAATGCATAGTGTCCCTGGGATACCCTGTGTCCCGGGGAGACCTGTAGTCTAAACAACTCCTTAAATGGATATGTGTTTCAGCATAGCTCCCAGGTGTGTGCCTGTGTCTACATGACCTTATTATCATTGGCAGGACATACTGACCCGCTGTGTTCTTCCTTTAGAGGGCAAGATGGCTCCATGGAAGCCTCCTGTTCCTCTGGATATTGAAATGTGCTCACCTCCTTGGCTTCCTAAACACCATGACATCCTTCTCCGAAGTGACATGTTCCTCTCTCTCCAGAGCCTTCGCCCCAGCAGTAAGAATTCTCCCCCTTCTCCAGCCGTTTCCTTAGTCAACCAACAAATTGGCTCATCCTAGTCAAAGAACAGCAAACTTCTCACAGGGCAACACACCATCCAGAATTCTAGCCACCTAATCCATCACAGTAGGATTTAGATACGGGGTATCAGCATTATAAATTGCATTTGTGACAGCAATAGCCATGATTTACTAAACGCTGGCTTTGTGTTCTACTTTCCCACAGCATTCTATGGTTATTTTCTGTGGTTATTTCCACCTGCATCTCTCTCTGTGTCAGGGATGCTTGTATGTGAACACAATGATCAGAATGGGGTGTGGGCGGCAAAGGTGGCTTTCTCAGATAATGGAGCAAGAAGCTGAGAGAAGGGATGAGACCTGCCTTGGGACTGTAACGTTCGGGTCCTTAGATGGCCACATGCTGCTTCTACATCCATTTTGTCAGCTGAGTCCTGCACACAGAGACTCACACACCAGAACCCATTTTGTATTATTTACCTCACCCAAGGAACCACACAGCATCCATAGAACACAGAAGCAAACCCCAATCGGGACAAAAGAGCATCTTGGGTATATGATGCTCAGCAATTTGCATGAGTTCTTGGCAATGCCTGAGCTCTGTGCCACCACAGGGCAAGTCTCCATCCAGGGATGGGCCAAAAGTTCTGACTGGAGAGTGGAGGCCCAAACAGGCCCAGAGTGCGGCTTAGGTCCTGATGATGCTCCTAGCTGCTGATCCTGAGCAGGTCCTGGCTGGGAAGAGCTCGCTCTAGCCCCATGGGCCTAATGCAGCATAAGTTCCTGCCTCTGCCACAGACAGCATTGCTATCAATCTGAGAGAGCTACTTGGCCATGTGGCTTCTGTGAGAACATTCTGGCTCTCAGGCCAGGGCTCACACAGGCCCATAAGTGCCCAAGCAAGAGTTTCCTGCTCCGGAGAATATGGACCTCAGCCCTTGCTGGGCTGTGCTTGGAGGAACAGGTCAACAAATGAGAGCAGAAAGAGCCAACCTCAGAGTCAAAAACAGCAACATTTAACCCAGGCTGCCCCTACCCAACTCATAGATGTCACCAGAGGCCAGGTAATAAACCTGCCATGAAACACCTTAGAAATTATATAGATCTAAGTGGTCCTTAACTAGCAATAAACTGTTAAATGACCATCATAGTAGCAGTAGCCCATATAGGAGAAGTCCAATGTATAGTGAGGATGCTCATGGCCAAAGGCTGAAAGGGCAGGTCACTTTCAAAGGTGGCCAGAAAGGGTGAGTCTCATTACAGTCAGTCATCCATCACAGGCCCCATGGCACATGTGTGGGAACTGTGACCTGGCCATCAGACAGTCTCCCAAGCTTCAGTGGAGGGACGATGGAGGTATGGGGATAGAAGAGCTCTGATAACAGAACTACAAGGTGGCTTGGAAGGTATAGACTCAGGTAGAAACATAGAAAGAGACCTGGGAGGGACAGCTCTGTTGGAAGCTTACCTCTTTGGGATGAGATCCTAAACTAGAAAGGCTTGAGCCATACACAAAAATTCCCCGTTTCCAAGCTTTAAACAACTTAAAATCATTTAGAAGTCCCCCAAATAGCCCTCTTCCCCAAAGAGAGTTGATGGCTCAGCATCCTGGGGTTTTCTCCCTGCAGCTCTTAGGGGCCCTGTTGCTGGCTGCCCATTCCCACTTGTACCGGTTTCTGCTCGTCACCTGGACACCATCCTCCAGCACCTCTACAGATGCGTTTCCTAGGCTGCTGCTTCAGTTTCTTGGAAGAAGCCAAAGGGACTCACTGAACAATCATGTGGAGCCTGACCATCAAGCTATGGCTTGTTACCGTGGGGCCCTTTTTCTGCTGGTGGCAACTCTGTGTTTCAGAATGGTACGTAGATACCTTGATGCAGCCTAGACTTTAAAGTCCAAGTTTATAAAGGTTTCATCTGCTATCAGGACAAATGATCTCTGTCCACATAGACAGATACGTCCAGACTGCTCTGGCCAGAACACA